CATAGGAGATCGGCAATTGTGAACGTAGAGGCAAATGTGAATGTAGGGTTTTAAACTGATTATCCTTATTTAAACAAATATTAAATATTATAAATAATTACTAAATTTAAATATGGTAAAGATTACTATTATACCCTTTAACAATTTAATAATTATTTCATGTTTGTTAATTTTTTATTAGTGCATTCAGGAACACAATAGTTGTTAGAAATATTTGAACATTCTGGACCAATCATTTTAATTATTTTAACAATGTAATTAATGCACATTACATGTTGAAGATATAATGAGTATTAATTAACTCTTCAGCATTTAATATGCATTAATATATATATATTATATATATATATATATATATATATATATATATATATATATAGATATAGAGAGAGAGAGAGAGAGAGAGAGAGAGAGGAGGAGGGTTCAATTGAGAAAAAAAAGGCTGAGAATGGGGGAATCATTCTCAGCCAATCATTTAATTAGCATCTTAACATAAAATACACGGTGTCAAAATTGTAAATATGATATGATATCCTTCAATCACAGATACATAATTGTGGATAATTTGATAACAATTCCAATTCATTACTACTCGATCGTTCATCATCCAAATTTCTTCTCCAACCTTCAACGATCATCCAGATTTCTTCAATTAAATCCTCGATCAACATCATCCAATGTTAATCAATCATCCATCTTCGTCAAAAACACGTTCATCAACATCATTCAACAGTAGACAAAAAAAATCGTTTTTGGTTCTTTCAATCCAACCTTCAATTATGCTTGAATTCGAGCATATCTTCAACATCTACGATTAATTATACTCCCAGTGTCATTAGATCAACATCATCGATAATCAACAACAATTTCACTTCATATCATTCATTCAACACCGATCATCAAATAAAACTTCTAAATTAAGGTTAGAAAAACGTCGAATCATTTTTTTTTTTGAAAAATTTCATATAATTCTCTATCAATCTACTATTTTGTAAGTTTTAAATAGTCAAAGTATCATGTTTTTAGCATTTTTAAAAAAACTTACTTGTATGCACTCCAACTGTTTGATGAAATGCATAAACTAAATTACCACGTTATATTCACATATGAATATGTTTTCGCACCTTAATCAGTATATGATTATTAAAACACAAAACAAATATACAATTTTATATGTTATTCATATGTGAATAACATATAAAAATTATATATATTTGTGAATATACCTTGTAATATTCATATGTTAATATCCTGTGTAATATTCATATGTGAATAAACTGTGTAATATTCACATATGAATATACCATCTAATATTCATAAGTGAATATACCATCTAATACTTACAAGTGAAAATACTATGTAATATTCACAAGTGAATGCATCATTTAATATTTAAATATGAATATATTGTATCATATTCACAAGTGTATATACTATATATTATTCATATGTGAATATACTGTGTAATATTCATGAATGAATATATCATGCAATATTTAGATGTGACTAGAATGTGTAATATTCACAAGTAAATATATCATATACTACTTACATGTGAATCTACTATATAATATTCATATGTGAATATACTATGTAATATTCATTTGTGAATATACCATGTAATATCACATGTAAATATACAATATAAACAACATATATCATATAATATTCACATATGATTATACATTCATGTGTGAATATACCATATGATAATTAGAATGTGATAAATCGCTATTATTATGAACTAAAAGTATATTTTTAACATTTTTTATGTGTATTCACATGTTTTTCAGGCATCGTTATAACTCAATAAAAGAATAACATTTCAATCAATGGTTGGTTCATATCCCGGTAGTTGACGATTGGTTGACGTAATTGAGAAGATATCATTGACGAACACAATATGTTTTTATATTCACGTGTAAATGTTATACAATTTAATATATTCTTCATTTTGATCGTGTTAAATTCAAATGCAAATGATATTCATTAACCAATACAATGTTGTTTGTTTTAGTATAATGTTGATTTTACATGTAAAATAATATTGTTACAATATACCAAAAAACTATTCACAAACCAATTCTTATAGTGTATTATTTATTTTTATATATAAAGGTTGTATTCACAAAATAAATAAATCAACATGTATAGTTTATTCACATAAATAAAATAACAGATTACAATGATGTTTTTACTAGTGTGATTGAAGTTAGTAACATCATCAGTAAATATGTCGTAATGATTTCTAAACTTTATTCATATATGAATAAATAGCATGTCATGATGATGTCATCACTAGTAGGAATGAAAATTTAGTGACATCATCAAAACAATTTGCCGCAATGAAGTTTAGTCTCAGAATTGGACGAAATTCGCATATTTGATGTAAAATGGTGCGATTTACAAAACTCACAGCTTCGCCGTGACGTACGGTGTTTTTCGGCCATTCGGGACTGTTTAGGGCCTCAAAATGACGTTTTTCTATTTTTATAATTTTCCGAAAAAAAAGTTATCATTTATTCACAAATGAATATAACATTAATAAAAATATATATGCTTATATAATTATTTTATTAACCTAAAAAGATTAGTTGTATGTGAATAAATATATATTCTTATCAAATACTTTTTTTTATCTTTAATTTTATATATTTTGTAGTCCTCGGTTTTATTGACAGTTTTATTCATTTGTGAATAATACATATATATTCACATTTGATTATTACATATATATTCATTTGTGAATATTACATATGTTCACATGCGGATATAATTCTTATATGTTATTCACATATGAATTACAAACTTGCTTAGGACCTCAAAACAATGTTTTTTTTCCGAAAAAAATACATTATCACTTATGAATAAAAAGTATGATTAATTTTTTTATAATTTAAATATCATTCATATATGAATATAGCATATAATAAACATAGTATATTCATATTTAAATATTAGACGATGCATTCAATTGTGAATATTACATAGTATATTCACTTGTGAATATTAGATGATATATTCACTTATAAATATTATATGATATTTTCATATGTGAATATTACATAGTATTACATGGTATATCACATGTGAATTTTACATAGTATATTCACTTGTGAATATAATATGATATATTCACTTATGAATATTACACAGTATATTCACATATGAATATTACAATGTGTTTTCACAAATATATATAATTTTTATTCGTTATTCACATATGAATAACATACAGACTTGCATATTTGTTTTTTTTTTTTTAATAATCATATACTGATTCAGGTCGGAAAACATATTCATATGTGAATATAACGTGGTAATTTAGTTTATGCATTTCATCAAACAGTTGGAGTGCATACAAGTTAACTTTTTTAAAAATGTTAAAAACATGATACTTCCAATTCAAGTTATCAATTCCAAATCATCATATACTTCCGATTTCGACTTTGAAGCGTGCAATTCCGATTTTCATTTCATTCCAAAAAAAATCCGATTTCAATTTTGAAACCTTGAAATCTCGATTCCAGATTTCTTTGTAATACTAATAATCAAGACGCGAACTGTTCCGATTACAATATATGTTCCAATTTCAAAAGCTTCTGACTTCAGATGCGACATCCTATGTCTGATCGATTTCACATTTTGATTTTGATTTCCGAAAATCCGATTAGGAACCTGTAACTACCGATTCCGAGTCCTTCAATGTCGACTGTGACTGCGAGTCCAGAACTCCAATTCCAATTTCATGAACAACAAAGAAATTCCGATTCCAACTGAGTTCGTTTGCGAATCTGGGAAATCCAAATTTGGAGTATTCAACAAAGAAATCGATGTTACGTATTTGAGATTGAAGGTTATTATCATATTTATAAGTTTGCCACCGTGTCTTTTATGCTTAGATTAAATGAGTGGCTGAGAATTATTCCCCCATTCTCAACTTTTTTTATTTTCTCAATTGAATTTACCTCAATATATATATATATATATATATATATATATATATATATATATATATATATATATATTCCCTATTAACACAATTATTAACATTCTTGAGTTGGAGCCTTTTCACCTTTACTTGGATATGAAGCTGAAACCCTAATAGCTGCAATCGAATCATAACGACGGTGATGCAACTCTGACCTCCGATCATATTGAACTCTTGATTATTTTTTTTTTCTTTATTTGTGTATGTTTGACTTTTATATGTACGAAACGTCAACCATATGATGTTTAGCTGTTTATTGGCTATAAAAAAATAAATAGATTGGCAGTCAGCAAATAGGCCCGTTTCTTGCGGGTCTAACCTCCATAATCTAAAAGACCTAAACGTTGAAGTTGAATTCTTCAAGTTCTTCGTTCAAATCTCATCTTTTTTTAGCTTTTTTTTTTCTTTACAGAAGTTATGATCTAAAGGCTAAAGAAAGATGATTTAAAGACTTTTTTTTTTATCAATTAAAAACATATTAGTAGTTATGAAACTTTCATTATTATATCATAACAACTTAAAATTAAATTATAATTTCTTAAAATATAGAGATATGATCCACATTTACCTAAAAAATTGATTGATTTTTTTTCCTTTTTTTGTTAATGGAAGATTAAAAAAAATTTCTTCCAAATGAAGTTTTTTTTCTTACACTCTATTCTATTCATTAAAACAAACATTTTCTTAAAATTAATGGCTAAAACACTTAAACTTAAAGTATATGTTCCTAATATAAAAATTGGCTAAAACGTACTGTATTCCTTAATATGTACAGTATACCATGCACCCTCTTACGGGTATTCTAGTTTAATAATTAAAATCTTGTTGTGAATACAAAAGGATACTAGTAGTAGTAAAATAACTTTGTAGGTGATGGCATGCAATTGGAGCATTGACATTTTTCATTCTTTAATAAGTAAATTAATACTGAACAAAATAGAGCGTATATACAAGTCAAACATTGCTGGCCCCCATCTTTATATAAGAACAGATCTAAGTTGGCTAAATCCTCATTTATAAATTCTATATATTCAACTGGATCAGAATACTTTTGTTCACACAGAGAAGACAGCCATGGAAGTTGACCACAGAAAAACAACCCAGATGAAGCAGGAAGATAAGGGAGACGATCGCCACTGCAAACAAGAGGTTGTGGATGATAAGGTGCATCGCTTTGTTTTTATTTGCTTTAGAATTCCGTGCTATCAACTTTCTCTGAGAGAAAGAAAAGGCGTTCTTCATAAGCTAGGTTCACGAAGCTTTCATATTTTATATATTTTTCATTTTTAGTTTCTATTTCTTTTTTTATTTCTACAATGAATTAAGAGGCTGCAGTTCTTCATGATAAATCTTTATTTTCTTCCATCTTTCTTTTTTGTTCTTATACAAATTAATCTGTTATTAAGGTATATGTTTATATGAAATTATCATCTGGTATGCACATAATATAATCGAATATTAAATTTCTCGTTATATATTCAGTTCTAAAACAATTAAATATATCTTTTGGTTTTTTGAAAATATCAGATCTACTGCACTATGTTATCTAAACAAACATATCTTAACATCAGTTTTGGATAACGAGGGCGGTTTCTTCCGTGATCCACTTTGTAATCATATGTTTCCTGTATACCAAAAAGAAAAACAAAATTTATCTCAAATTCTTAATATATTCAAGATTCAATATTTCATGTTGGTTGCCCAAAACTGAAACTGTTTTATTATTTTCATGATTCAATATTTCATGTAGCTTCAACATTAAAAAGTTTCTTATTTTTTTAGGAAGACCAAAATACTAAGAGAAAGTAGAAATAGTTAATTCCATATATATGAATTTACATTATGAAGAACCCTAATTTGTACTAAATTTCGTCTAAATCAACAGTCATACCTTTAAATAATTCCATAAAGAATCCAAAAAGACCATTCTTTCACTTAAGATGTTTAAGTTATACCCCAGAAATAATTCAATGGCTCTAGAAAAACCTTACAACAAGAAAGTGACAACTTTAATATCATCAATTATGCAATAATTCATCTGGAAGATCTTCTATCATCCATTGATTAACTTTAATATCATCAATTAGTCTCAAGTAATTAAGGTGATTTTAATGAATGCAGGAAGATGAGAAGCAGTTTGAGTTAACAAAAACCGAAATGGGTGAGGTGAGGGAAGAAAACCAGAGGCTAAGACTGCACCTTGACCAGATCATGAAGGATTACCAGAACCTTCAAAAGAAATTCCAAGACATCCTCCATCAACAACAAGAAACGACGTCGTCAACTCCTCATGTTGCCCCCACGAACGAACAACCACAAATCAACGATGAATCTGAACTTGTTTCTCTCAGTCTCGGAAGGACTTCGTCAACAGAACTGGTCAAGAAAGATAAGATCAGAAGTACGACTCCACCAACCAAAAATGCGGAAGGGTTAGGTCTTGGACTCGAATACGGAAAATTTGAATTGTCATCAACTACACAAGCCGAATCTTCAGTCAATCCGAGCCCTGAGAATAGCTTGGATCAGGAAGCTAAAGATGAAGCTGGCGAGACATGGACACCACAGAAACCTTCGACTCCGAAGAGAAGTGCAGATGATCAAGATGTTCAGCAAAACCCTGCCAAGAAAACTAGGGTTTCTGTTAGGGTTCGTTGTGATACGCCAACGGTAAATAATAAGTTTGTAATTTTCTACATGTGTTTACTGTAAATCTGAATCTATATAATCAGGTTAATTAAACCATAAGGTTTTAAATTTGCAGATGAATGATGGATGTCAATGGAGAAAATATGGACAAAAGATCGCAAAAGGAAATCCATGTCCACGAGCATATTATCGTTGCACTGTTTCTCCGACTTGCCCAGTTAGGAAACAGGTATAATAAATTAACAATTATATAAAGAATTCAACAAAAAGTACTATGGGTTAAAAATGTTGGTTGTTTCTGTTATTTAATTTGTATCTCGATGAATGAAAATTGTGTAGGTACAAAGATGTCCTCAAGATATGTCGATTTTGATCACCACGTATGAAGGAACACACAACCACCCACTTGCAGCTTCCGCCACTGCTATGGCTTCCACCACCTCCGCAGCCGCCAGTATGTTAACCTCCGGCTCCTCAACCTCCGGAGCAAATTCAAACCCTAACACTGTCACCACCTCTCACGGCCTAAACTTTTATCTCAACGAGAACTCAAAATTACAGCCGATTTACTTGCCACATTCTTCTATATCGCCATCACCCTCATGCCCAACTGTCACACTTGATCTTACTTCGAACACGCTTTCCACATCATCACCATACAGCTACCGGTCGCCACCAATGGCTACCACTTTCCCACCAAGATATTCTACGACAAATCTGAATTTTAGTTCTTTAGAGTCTAACGCATTGCCAATTTCTTGGAGCAATGGCCACCTCAATTATGGGAAAAATCAAATGGGGTCCCTCAACTTTGGATCAACACAAGCTCAAGAAAATATCTACCATTCTTACATGCAAAATAAGAACATGATGGCAACTGCAACCGCTAATCAACATTCTCTACAGCCAGACACCATTGAAGCTGCAACAAGAGCTATCACAGCAGACCCTAATTTCCAATCGGTTTTACAGGCAGCATTGACATCAATAATTGGTGGTGGTGGGGTGGGGCTTCAAAGCGGAGGTGAGAAGTCCGACCAAAATATAAAACTTGGAGATACGTTTCCAGTGTTTTCGAGCTTTCCTTCAACTTCAAACACAAACAAATGTTCATCAAGCTTCTTCAACAAGTCAACGGCAGCAACATTGCAACCTGCTGGTTCTAATTCGTTGCCGATTTCTAACTCAAGGAGTAAATCAACTTCTCCGGAAAAAAGCAGAGATCATGTGGTTTGATGAATTAATGTAATTATGGGTGCATTATTGGATTATATTTTTTGTTATTTTGGATAAATAGTCAATGATAGATGATCACACAATTGTAATTAATACGTTATAAAATCTAGGCAATGGGTGATGTATTGTGAAGAAAATTGTGCAAGTAATTGCTTTGTCATATTAGGCTTATCATTTTTTAGGACAAAATAGACGAATAAATGGTCTCTATAATTTGAGTTGTGTTTGATTTTTAAATTTTTTTTAACTTGGACATATCCTTAATTTTGTTTTTGTTGTAGCTTAGTCATAAAATGACTATATTACATTTATATATTTATTTTATATTTTATTTATTAAATTTGTTTATTGGCGCAACTTGTCGTCCGTTTGCCTTCTCATTCGTTGTACGATAATAACTAAGATGTATTAACTTATTAATAGCTTTGAAAATCATTGTGATACCTATAGGACTGAATATCTTTATTTTTAAAAACCCTATTTATAATTTAAAAAGGTTTATGGGGTCCACATTTGCACCACCACACCCTTTATCTTTTTCTATCTTCCTTGTTGAAAGATCACTGACTACTCATATGAGTAACGTCCAAAAACCCCATCAGAACACTCCGACAACCATGGCCAATCACCTCCGACAACCACGACCAGTAACATCGGGAAACCATATCAAATGAAAACTTGCAAAAAAAATCAACCTTCAAACAAAACCGAACCTAAAATAAAACCTAAAATCTCAACTAAAACCAAAATTCCAAATGGCGAATCAAAGAATGAACCAAATTCACAATCAACCAAAATCAAAAGTTGTACTTTTTAATCCAAAACACAATCAAATAAGGAACCAAACCATATTTCAACTCTAACACCTGATTTCAAGAAGAAAAATCAAGGAAAAAAAGAATATATATATATAAAAACCTGATTTCTACCAACCTGCATCAAGTTCAACCCTAGTTATCTCGTAACCGGCAGCCGCAGGTGATGAAATTATTTTTTTGAGATCCACTGATGTTAAAATAAACAAACAAACAAAACTGAAATATGTTAACCCTCAAACAATCAAACCCATAAATCGATGGTGTTTGAACAAAATGTATCGGTCACGAGGAAGAAAAAAATCATACAATGTCGGAGATAGCGAGAGAAAGAGGGAGGTAAAAAGTGACAGAGAGAGAGAAAGAGAAAGAAAATGGCATTAAAGAGAACTAAAGATGGTGTCTATCAAAGATGGAGAAACGGTGAGGACGATGTGTCTACGGAGAGAGAGAGAGAGAGAGAGAGAGAGAGAGAGGGGGAGAGAGGGAGGGAGGGAGAGAGAAAGAGGGAGAGAGAGAGAGAGAGAGAGAGAGAGTGAGTGAGTGAGTGAGTGAGTGAGTGAGAGTAAGCGAGAGAGAGAGAGAGAGAGAGAGAGAGCAAATGTTGTTATAGAGAACTAATTGAAATAATTTTTACTAAAGATGGAGAGGAGATAGTCACGATGTTTCTGGAGAGAGAGAGAGAGAGAGAGAGAGAGAGAGAGCCCTCGAGGATAGGGCGTCATCGGAGAAGGAGAAGGAGGAAGAATGGTGAGTTGGAGAGGAATGGTAGGGCGACAGCTGGAGAAGGAGGGGTGGCGACAATAATATTCCTCGAGAAAAAAAAGTCGGTGATGATAGGTCTCATGAAAGATTGAGAGAGAAGAAAAATTGTGGTGGAAAAGCGACGAGGGAAGGGGCGGTGGTCGAAGATGGAGAGGTGGTGACGAAGATGTTCCTGAAGAAAAAATGGAGTCGACGATTATGGGTCTCTTAAGAGAAGGCATGCAAATAAGAATGGTGGAGGGAGATATGTTTAAATGGAATTGATTAGGGATGAGACCCAATTCTATTTATTTATTTGTAAATAATCAGAAATAATAATAATAATAATAATAATAATAATAATAAGGAGGTTAAAGAAATTAAGAAAAAATAATAGTCTTTTGATCGTTGTCAGGGACTATCATCGTAACAAAATAATATTTTTTGAAATGTCCAAGTTTAAAAAAAAATAAAAAAATAATAAAAAAAAAAAAAGAAAGAGAATAGGGATCAAGCATGCAGACGACCTAAACCATAGGAACCATTCATATAATTTGTCCTTTTTTTACTTTATATATATATATATATATATATATATAGATATATATATATATATATATATATATATATATATATATATATATGTGGCTAGGTTATAATGTGTATGACATCTATTGTGTGGTCGTAAAGATAATTCTGGACCAATAGATGAAATGAATGAATGGTCATGAATTGAGGGTCTGTGATATTAATATGAGATACTATATAATCACATAAGTTTTAGTATAAGGGTATTTTAGTCAATTAAACTACATTTAAGAAAGGAAATTTTGGATTTTTAAGGGTAATTAATTCTCTTAATTAAAAATCTGATTATAATAGATAATAATTCTTTTATTTCGGGTCATTCTAACAGAATATGTCTATGAGTATCTTGAAACATTCTTGAACCATAAAAGAATAAATATTCTGAAAGAATACATAATTTGACGGAATGAACTTCTTGAAAAATAACAAATTCTTGAACCATCAATTGAAGAATAAAAAGTAAAATTACACTAATTCTTAAAGAATATGGGTAACAATTGCTAAGAATTACATTTATTGTTAAAGAATAAAACCAAGAACGGTTAAAAATTGAAATGTAACACCCCGTTTATGAAATAAATAAATAAATAAATTAATAAATAAATGTATAGTAGCCCTAAAATCAATAATTATATAGCAAGGTGTTGGTCTCGAGGAACTAATTGTCACAATTTTAGAAGTCGGGGGTTAAAAGTGTAAGTTTCAGATTGGTTTCGTAAAGATTTTTAGAAGACAAGGGTGTTTGGTATCATTTGGACCTAACATGAAAGGATTTATGAGAGCAGGGGCTAAAGAGTAAATTCTGGACCTAATTTGAAAAGGATTTGTAGAGGGAGGGGCTGTTTGGTAAAATTCGGACTTAATTTGTAACGGGTTTCAGAACGTGGGGTTTAAAGGGTAAATTTTGGGCTAAGATTGAATGTAAAAGGGAAGGGAGGGACTAATCCCGTCATTATCGAATTAAGGTTATGGGGGATCGGGGGTATATAAACCGTCACCCCTGGTCCGAAACCCTAACCCTAAAGAAGCGTCATCCGCCAATCTCCCTTCCTCACTCTCAGACGCCGCCACCGTGGTCGGAGCCGAGAACCACCAGTCGAGTTTTGTCGCCGCTATCTCCGGTCGATGGCGCCGCTGCTACTGCCATTCCCAGCCGACGACAACACCACCGGCCGTCTATCGTTCTCTATCTTCTCCTGCTTCAGCCATCGCCATGTGGAGCCCTCATCCGCTCTATCGCCACCACCACTTCAACAGCGGTTCCACCTCCATCTTCTGCCGCTGCTGCTGCCCGTTCTCATGATTGCTACGTTTCAGCCACCAGCAGCCGCTGCCGCCTGTGCAATTCCCTTGCTGCGTCGGTCACTGTTTACCACCCCGAAGGGCTACCGTGTTCGTGTTTACGAAGTGTGTGTATGTGTTTGCTCGGTTGGGAATCAAAAGAACCGCCGCCACGCCATAAGGTGGTGGCTGTCATCGCAATCTGTTGTTGTCGCCGCCGTGAGCCACCAGGTGGGTAGCTGGGGTGCATCTCGCAAATCTGTAGCGTGTGTGTTATCTTACGGTTTGTGTGTGTTTTGTGTGGCTGGAAAACCAAGGAAGCCACCACCACCTCTGTGAGGTGGTGGTTGCCGCCATGTACCACCGCCGGCCACAACTAGGGTGGTTGTGTGTGTGTGTGTGTTTATGTTAGTGAGTGTATGTGTTATTGGGATTTGTGTTGTAAATTGTAATTGGGACGGAATAATGAAAAGAAAACCTATAACCACCACCGCGAGGTGGTGGCCGCCGCCGTGAGCCGTCGTTGACCACCACTACCCGAGGTGGTAGTGGGTGGTGCCCGACTAACGAAACCCTAATGGACCTAGTGAAACCCTAATGGGCCTAATGAAACCCTAATGGATCTATGGACTTAGCTTTTGGGGCCTATTGGGTTGTGATTGGGTTGGAAACCCTAATCAAAATTTAGAAAACCCTAATTTTGGAATTATTAGTTTGGACTTATCGGGACCCGCATTTTGGGCCATTGGAATGGAATTATGAATTACACCCAATCACACCATATGATTTATCTAGTAGATTTATGGACTTAATGGATTAAGTCCTTAATGAGTTAAGTGAGAAACACTTAACCCTAATTGTCATTTTATGTGAAAACCCTAATTTCACTTGGGCTTTGAGTTGGGCCTTTCTATTGGGCTTTGATGATTGGGCCAATAATGGGCCATCCAAGAACAATCATATGGACTAGAATAATTGGATGGACTTTAGGGTAAAGCCCATGTGAGGGTTTGGGCCCAATTTCAAAAATTGGGCCATAGGTGGGCCATAATTGGGCCTTTATGATTATGACATGTTGGGCCATTAGAAATGTCAAATGTTTGGACTGGACTAAATGGTTGGGCCTTAGAATAAGACCATGTAAAGGTTTGGGCCCAATTTGAAAAATTGGGCCATATGTTGGGCTTTGACTTATAGTTGACTTTTAGGCCTTTGGATTGGGCCTTGGGCTTGAGTCAAGCTAAGTTGGGGGTAAAGTAGCCTTTTACCCCAAGCATGGACTTATGGGTATATGTTGGAACCCAATTACTGCTTGGGTATTATTTTGATGATTGACAGTTCGAGAACCTGTCATCCAGCAGCTAGAGTTTTGTCTATGGGACTTCAGCAGTGTGAGGTGAGTTACCTTCCAGTAGAAGTGGGTCTACGGCCACAATGTCGGCCCAGTAGTAGGAGTTGTTTGATAGATGATTGTCTTTATGATAATTATCTAGGTTTGCTACTACCTGATATGTTTTATGTGCCAGCGTGATATGATGTTATGTGATAGTGGTAGTAGATGGAGTATTCCCCGGTTATCGGTCGATAGGGCTGAAGGGGTAGTTTAGTACCCAGCTATGCTAGACAGATTATGATATATGTGATATGATATTATGTGGTGGTAGTAGGGGGTGAAATAGTCTCCGGTTACCGGTCGACAGGACCGAAGGGATAGGGCGGACACCCAGATATGCCTGAGAAGGGTAGGTTAGGCACCTCGGTATGCCTAAAA